GCTCAGGAAACTGCTGCAGAGGAGGAGGATGAAGAGAGATGGAGGAAGGTGCCTTCTTCAAAGATTAAGGACATTTGTGCAAAGTGGACTGAAGTGCAAACATTTATGGATGAACTTCACCCTAGCAAAGCTATTGCAGGCCATATTGGCAGCATGTACAATGACAGTGTTGTGTCCCACTTCAGACAAATCTTAAAGAAATGCCAGAAACAGAGCTCTCTGGACAGTATTTTGTGTGACAGGGTTCCAGTGACTCTCAAGTTGTTCCCAGTGCCAGTGTCTTTAAAAAACAAAGAAGGGAAGTAACCCCAGATAAGGACTTCATACCTGAAGTCCTAATGGAAGGGGATTCTCCTTCCAAACAGTAATGTACACCTTCCTCCTATCCCCCTCCTCCCGTCTTCCATCCACCCAGAAGTCTTCAGTAAAGGTAAGTGTAATGTTGTTGTTATTTTTAATATGCATGTACTTGACTTCTCATTGTTTTCAGTATGTAAATCTTTATTTAATTTGAAAAAAAAAAATTATTTTAATATTTTTGGGTGTATTGAATGGATTAATTTTATTTCTGTTATTTCTTATGTGGAAAATGGTTTCGCCATTTGGAAATTTCGACTTTCAGCAGGCTCTCTGGAACGGATTAATCATGAAACTCGGTGGTCCACTGTATATATTTCTGGGCAATAATATGTGACTAAAATAGGTGAAAATGTTCACCTGTCAATGCTTGTGCAGTTACTGTGTACTCACCTAATTGTACTTTACTAATTATGGTTGCAGGGGTCGAGACTCAGCTCTTGGCCCCGACTCTTCACCGATTGCTACTAGGTCCTCACTCTCCCTGCTCCATGTGTACCATAAAATGAGTGTATATATCCAAAACATGGCTTATATTGGCCTCACAGGCCATAAAAGTTACTGGAAAAAATAAAATGTTAAAAAATAAAAGAAAAACGTAGGAAAAAATGAATAATCTATTTCCGCATGACCGGCAGTTGGCGATGTTGCCATAAGCGGCTCGCTTTCTGTCAACTTCACGCCTCCATATCTCGGTAAGTATTGATCACAAATTTTTTTTTTTTTTTTTTGGCCTATAATGCTCACAAAAATATAATACTCTATCATTTCATAAGATTTTTTTTTTTTTTTTCGAAAATTTTTCGACCCTGAGAACAAGTTTGGGAGAGGGCCTGTCGACTCTGAAAGGGTTAAGTTAGGAATAAAACTAGGCATAACAAAACAATAAAAAGTAGAATACACACTCATTACTTAAAATATTTCTAGTCTTAATGTAGGGTGAGAGGTGAGTAAACAAAATAAAACAAATAAATGAGAGAGAACAAGTAAATGATAGAAGAAAGAGATGCAGAGTCTGTAAACAAGCAGACTAATGCATCTGGTCATAGTTGATTCACATTCATTTCTTTGTTTGTGAAGCTTATACCATATTACAAACACCTTACATAGTGTACAAGTTGGTAAGTAAGTAAGTAAGTAAGTTTATTCAGGTATACACAAATACAGTTACATAGAATTATCATACATAGCAGCATATGTGTAGAGAACCTAGGATAACCCAAAAAAGTCAGACAGAGTGACTTATTTCCATTGGGGTAAAGTAGAAAAAATATAGAGCAACACTCCCATTCTCATGTAACACCGTTTTTAGAAGGAATAATGCTCTGAGTAAAGGCTGAGAGTCAGGTGGTGGGAGCCATATAGCGAGTTTTGGTCATAATTTGAAACTTCTGTATTAGCGGAATGCCGTAACTTGAAACACTGTAAAGTGGAGACCTAATGTATTTAACTCCTTTATTAAGTTATGTTGCACTCAGTATTGTTCCAGTAACAGTGTTATGTTGCACTCAGTATTGTTCCAGGAACAGTGTTATGTTGCACTCAGTATTGTTCCAGGAACAGTGTTATGTTGCACTCAGTATTGTTCCAGTAACAGTGTTATGTTGCACTCAGTATTGTTCCAGTAACAGTGTTATGTTGCACTCAGTATTGTTCCAGTAACAGTGTTATGTTGCACTCAGTATTGTTCCAGTAACAGTGTTATGTTGCACTCAGTATTGTTCCAGTAACAGTGTTATGTTGCACTCAGTATTGTTCCAGTAACAGTGTTATGTTGCACTCAGTATTGTTCCAGGAACAGTGTTATGTTGCACTCAGTATTGTTCCAGGAACAGTGTTATGTTGCACTCAGTATTGTTCCAGGAACAGTGTTATGTTGCATTTGGTATTGTTTGGTAACATACAGTGTTATGTTGCACTTGGTATTGTTCCAGTAACATACAGTCTTATGTTGCACTTGGTATTGTTCCAGTAACATACAGTATTATGTTGCACTCGGTATTGTTCCAGCAACAGTGTTATGTTGCAATTGGTATTGTTCCAGTAACATATAGTGTTATGTTGCACTTGGTATTGTTCCAGTAACATACAGTGTTATGTTGCACTCGGTATTGTTCCAGCAACAGTGTTATGTTGCAATTGGTATTGTTCCAGTAACATACAGTGTTATGTTGCACTCGGTATTGTTCCAGTAACATACAGTGTTATGTTGCACTCGGTATTGTTCCAGTAACATACAGTGTTATGTTGCACTCAGTATTGTTCCAGGAACAGTGTTATGTTGCATTTGGTATTGTTTGGTAACATACAGTGTTATGTTGCACTTGGTATTGTTCCAGTAACATACAGTCTTATGTTGCACTTGGTATTGTTCCAGTAACATACAGTATTATGTTGCACTCGGTATTGTTCCAGCAACAGTGTTATGTTGCAATTGGTATTGTTCCAGTAACATATAGTGTTATGTTGCACTTGGTATTGTTCCAGTAACATACAGTGTTATGTTGCACTCGGTATTGTTCCAGCAACAGTGTTATGTTGCAATTGGTATTGTTCCAGTAACATACAGTGTTATGTTGCACTCGGTATTGTTCCAGGAACAGTGTTATGTTGCATTTGGTATTGTTTGGTAACATACAGTGTTATGTTGCACTTGGTATTGTTCCAGTAACATACAGTGTTATGTTGCACTCAGTATTGTTCCAGTAACAGTGTTATGTTGCACTTGGTATTGTTCCAGTAACATAGTGTTATGTTGCACTCAGTATTGTTCCAGTAACAGTGTTATGTTGCACTCAGTATTGTTCCAGTAACATACAGTGTTATGTTGCACTCAGTATTGTTCCAGTAACAGTGTTATGTTGCACTTGGTATTGTTCCAGTAACATACAGTGTTATGTTGCACTCAGTATTGTTCCAGTAACAGTGTTATGTTGCACTCAGTATTGTTCCAGTAACAGTGTTATGTTGCACTTGGTATTGTTCCAGTAACAGTGTTATGTTGCACTTGGTATTGTTCCAGTAACATACAGTGTTATGTTGCACTCAGTATTGTTCCAGTAACAGTGTTATGTTGCACTCAGTATTGTTCCAGTAACAGTGTTATGTTGCACTCAGTATTGTTCCAGTAACAGTGTTATGTTGCACTTGGTATTGTTCCAGTAACATACAGTGTTATGTTGCACTCAGTATTGTTCCAGTAACAGTGTTATGTTGCACTCAGTATTGTTCCAGTAACAGTGTTATGTTGCACTTGGTATTGTTCCAGTAACATACAGTGTTATGTTGCACTCAGTATTGTTCCAGTAACAGTGTTATGTTGCACTCAGTATTGTTCCAGTAACAGTGTTATGTTGCACTCAGTATTGTTTCCAGTAACAGTGTTATGTTGCACTCAGTATTGTTCCAGTAACAGTGTTATGTTGCACTCAGTATTGTTCCAGTAACAGTGTTATGTTGCACTCAGTATTGTTCCAGGAACAGTGTTATGTTGCACTCAGTATTGTTCCAGTAACAGTGTTATGTTGCACTCAGTATTGTTCCAGTAACAGTGTTATGTTGCACTCAGTATTGTTCCAGTAACAGTGTTATGTTGCACTCAGTATTGTTCCAGTAACAGTCAGTGTAACACTGAGGACCTGTATTATGGAATACCTCTGTCCCATCATTCAGTGAAGCTTTATTACAGTCCCATCATTCAGTGAAGCTTTATTACAGTCCCATCATTCAGTGAAGCTTTATTACAGTCCCATCATTCAGTGAAGCTTTATTACAGTCCCATCATTCAGTGAAGCTTTATTACAGTCCCATCATTCAGTGAAGCTTTATTACAGTCCCATCATTCAGTGAAGCTTTATTACAGTCCCATCATTCAGTGAAGCTTTATTACAGTCCCATCATTCAGTGAAGCTTTATTACAGTCCCATCATTAAGTGAAGCTTTATTACAGTCCCATCATTCAGTGAAGCTTTATTACAGTCCCATCATTCAGTGAAGCTTTATTACAGTCCCATCATTCAGTGAAGCTTTATTACAGTCCCATCATTCAGTGAAGCTTTATTACAGTCCCATCATTCAGTGAAGCTTTATTACAGTCCCATCATTCAGTGAAGCTTTATTACAGTCCCATCATTCAGTGAAGCTTTATTACAGTCCCATCATTCAGTGAAGCTTTATTACAGTCCCATCATTCAGTGAAGCTTTATTACAGTCCCATCATTCAGTGAAGCTTTATTACAGTCCCATCATTCAGTGAAGCTTTATTACAGTCCCATCATTCAGTGAAGCTTTATTACAGTCCCATCATTCAGTGAAGCTTTATTACAGTCCCATCATTCAGTGAAACTTCACTACAGTTCCATCATTCAGTGAAGCTTTATTACAGTCCCATCATTCAGTGAAACTTCACTACAGTCCCATCATTCAGTGAAACTTCACTACAGTCCCATCATTCAGTGAAACTTCACTACAGTCCCATCATTCAGTGAAGCCTCAGTGTTATGTTGCATTTGGTATTGTTCCAGTAACATACAGTGTTATGCTGCACTCAGAATTGTTCCGGTAACAGTGTTATGCTGCACTCAGAATTGTTCTGGTAACAGTGTTATGTTGCACTCAGCACCATCAACTTTCTCTTATTTTATTCTTTTGTTTTTCCTTTCAGATGTTAATGTTTGTCGAGTCATTATTTAAGTGCAGCTATAACTATGAGAACATTCAAGATGGTTTTGAAGTTGTGAGTTGTGTATGTAAGAAGCATGGATCCCAGCCTCAAGTGGCAGCATATGTTGTCAAGATCATCACAGGTTTGTAATCTGCCTTTACTAGTCTAACACAACACTGGTACAGGTTGACCATCAATAATCTAGCATCATCGGGACATGTAGGGTGCTAGATTAGTGATTTTGCTGGATTACGGAGTGGTTAAGTTAGAATATACTTAGCCCAACAGCGATATTTATGCATCGGCAATTTCACCCATTTTATGCTCTATTTTTGGCTCATTCCATTATTCCAGTGTACCAAACTCATAGCTATTTCACTAGTATTCCTTCTATTCTGTTGATTGAGCACAAGAAACTGCCCATTCACCTATTCCAGCTACCCAATAAAGTGGTCAGAAATCTGTAATTTGGTCAATTTCACACAATTCAGAAGATGCCAAGTTCAAAATATGTCCAGAATAAACAATGCAAACATTCCTGGCACTAAAATAGCATTTTTTCTGTCCCTTAGTCACAGCTCCAGGCCCCTCTTATATTACTCTTGCTCTCCACTTTTGAATTTTTATTCACAAAAAAATAGATTTACTAAGTTATGCAATCCACTACATTATTGTAATTGTATAAATAATATCAACCCATTTGTGACTGCATATTAGACTGGCCAGTTGGACACATACTGGACATTGATGTCATTTGTTTACTCTTGAACATTGGCAAAAATTGAACATTTCTGCTAATATGAGCTCAATTTCAAGGTACTTTTTGTTGTGAAACCAATCAGAATCACATCTATTTCTGTAATATACCTTACATTCTATCAAATGAGGCCAAAAAATGAAAATACAACAATAAAAACTACATGAAAATACTGTGGGCCCTTGACCAACGATGGCATCGTCTAACGATAAAATTGCCTAATGATGCGTTTGAGCATAAAAATTTTGGCCCAACCAATGATGAAAAACTCAACTAACAACATTCGTCTCAAACACGTCCACGCATCCGTCTGGCCTGAGCGCACCTCAGCTGCCCTGCCTTCAGTTATTGTGCCATTGTTTACAAGCCAGTGTGGTCGGTTCCACACATATATTCAGTATATTTTGTATTATTCCAGTGTTTTTAGTGCTTGTAACTGCTAAATAAGCCACCATGGGCCCAAAGAAAGCTTCTAGTGCCAACCCTGTGGTAAAAAGGGTGAAAATTACAATCAAAATGAAGAAGGAGATGCCTCTGAGCTGGCCTGGTTGTATAACAAACCCCAGTCAACCATCGCTACTATCTTGGCTAACAGAAAGGCAATCAAGGAAGCTGTTGTTGCGAAAGGTGTAAGTATGTTTTCGAAACAGAGATTGCAAATACTTGAAGATGTTGAGAGACTGTTGTTGTTGTGGATAAATGAAAAACAAATATCAGGAGGTAGTATTTCTCAATCAATCATATGTGAAAAGGCAAGGCAGTTGCATGATGATTTAATTAAAAAAAATGCCTGCAACTAGTGGTGATGTTATTGAATTTAAGGCCAGCAAAGGTTGGTTTGAGAGATTTAAGAAGTGTAGTGGCATACACAGTGTGGTAAGGCATGGATAGGCTGCCAGTTTGGACAAGACAGCAGCTGAAAAATATGTGCAGGAATTCAAGGAGTACATAGACACTGAAAAATTAAAACCCGAACAAGTGTTCAGTTGTGACAAAACAGGCCTGTTTGGAAGAAAATGCCAAACAGGACCTACATTACACAGGAGGAAAAAGCACTGCCAGGACACAAGCCTATGAAAGACAGGGTAACTCTAGGTACATAGATAGGGCCTTCTGCTTGAAGGATAGGAGTAGGAGACAGAGGGTTTGCTTTCCTGTGGCTGGGATGGAGGATATTGTTAGCCGGCTTGACAACATCATGAACGGTAATGGGGTCAATCCTATTATCTGCCTCAGTGTTGGTGGCAATGGTGTAGGCAAGTGTAGAAATGAGGATTTAGTTAGAAGGTACAGGACAGCAATAGACAATTAGAAAGAAGGGGGGGGGGTTATATGTGGCATTTTGCCAAGAAGGGGTGTTGGAAATGAATGGTTGTCCAGAGCAATTGGTATTAATTGTTGGCTGGACAAACACTGTAAGGATAATGCAATACCATTCATCGACAACTGGGACCACTTCTATGGCCATAATGATATGTATGCCAGGGATGAGGTTCACTTATCCAGGGCAGGTGTGGGTTTTCTAGCTGGCTCAGTTGAGAGTGTTGTTAGGACTTTAAACTAGGACTAGTTAGAGGTATGGGTTTAGAAATGGAAAGTAAAAAGTGTTGAAATGAGGATTTAGGCTTTGAAATTATAAATCTTAATAGTAACGAGGACAGTAATAGGTATAGTGGAAGAACAGAAAGGAGCAGGAAGGGTAAAAAGAAAGGAGGGTCATTAAATATATATTACACAAATAATCGTAGTGCTAGGAACAAGATGGACGAGATGAGATTAGTTGCTAGTGCAGGTAACACTGATGTATTTGTTTGAACTGAGACGTGGTTCAGTACGAAAATTTGGGACATGGCTGCAGAATGTCACATACAGGGTTTTAAATTGTTCCAAGTAGACAGAAGCATCGGGAAGGGGGGTAGGGTGGTACTGTATACCCAGATCGCTTGAACCGTTGCATAAAAACGGGTATAAAATCTGAAATAACACATGCAGTCTCTCTTTGGATAGAATTTTCAGAGAAGCATGAAAAAATGATTTTAGGAGTGATATACAGTCCCCCAAACTTAGATAGGGACCAAGGGAGACTACTATGGAAGGAAATTGTTAAGGCCACAAGGCATGATTACGTAGTAATTCTAGGGGACTTCAACTTTAGTCAGATTGATTGGAATTTCTTGACTGGGAATTTAGAATCAAATGATTTCTTAGAAGTAGTTCAGGATTGTTTTTTGAAGCAGTTTGTGACAGAACCTACAAGGCGAAATAACCTGCTTGATTTGGTTCTGGTAAACAAGGAAACCCTTGAAGATTTGAGACACTTATGCAGCATATGGAAAACTTTATTCAGGAAACGTTTCGCCACAGTGGCTTCATCAGTCCAATACAAAGAGGAAGGCGTAAGGAGAGGAGGAGAATGAGGTAACCAGTCCCTCAACCTGGAGTCGATGTGTTCAGTCCATCAATCTTGTAGAATGTACCATCTACATTCTACAAGATTGATGGACTGAACACATCGACTCCAGGTTGAGGGACTGATTACCTCATTCTCCTCCTCTCCTTACGCCTTCCTCTTTGTATTGGACTGATGAAGCCACTGTGTGGCGAAACGTTTCCTGAATAAAGATTCTCATATGCGGCATAAGTGTCTCAATCTTCAACAACAGAAGTAAATTATGGTAAAAAGAATGATTGTACATTACATTACAGTATTATGTAGGTAGTTTATATAGGAAAGTTTTGACATTATGCCCTATCCAATATGTCAGCAATTTTCAAAGGTTCGACTTACGACCGGTTGGTCGGAACCAAGCTTGGTCGTAAGTCGGATGGTAGGTGTATTAACAAGGGTTTCCTTGTGTGTGATGAATGGTTTGAAAAACCAACAAGTTGAAGATTTGAGACACTTATGCAGCATATGGAAATCTTTATTCAAGAAACGTTTCGCCACACAGTGGCTTCATCAGTCCAATACAAAGAGGAAGGCGTAAGGAGAGGAGGAGAATGAGGTAATCAGTCCCTCAACCTGGAGTCGATGTGTTCAGTCCATCAATCTTGTAGAATGTACCATCTACATTCTACAAGATTGATGGACTGAACACATCGACTCCAGGTTGAGGGACTGATTACCTCATTCTCCTCCTCTCCTTACGCCTTCCTCTTTGTATTGGACTGATGAAGCCACTGTGTGGCGAAACGTTTCTTGAATAAAGATTTCCATATGCTGCATAAGTGTCTCAAATCTTCAACTTGTTGGTTTTTCAAACCATTCATCACACACAAGGAAACCCTTGTTAATACACCTACCATCCGACTTACGACCAAGCTTGGTTCCGACCAACCGGTCGTAAGTCGAACCTTTGAAAATTGCTGACATATTGGATAGGGCATAATGTCAAAACTTTCCTATATAAACTACCTACATAATACTGTAATGTAATGTACAATCATTCTTTTTACCATAATTTACTTCTGTTGTTGAAGATTGAGACACTTATGCCGCATATGAGAATCTTTATTCAGGAAACGTTTCGCCACACAGTGGCTTCATCAGTCCAATACAAAGAGGAAGGCGTAAGGAGAGGAGGAGTTTGAGGTAATCAGTCCCTCAGCCTGGAGTCGATGTGTTCAGTCCATCAATCTTGTAGAATGTACAGCATAGGGCCGTAGACGTGGCTTATATACTGTAGTGAGGTGAGGTGAAGCAGTCGGAGGCGGGGTCATAGTGGTACCTTCCTCACCTCACTACAGTATATAAGCCACGTCTACGGCCCTATGCTGTACATTCTACAAGATTGATGGACTGAACACATCGACTCCAGGCTGAGGGACTGATTACCTCAAACTCCTCCTCTCCTTACGCCTTCCTCTTTGTATTGGACTGATGAAGCCACTGTGTGGCGAAACGTTTCCTGAATAAAGATTCTCATATGCGGCATAAGTGTCTCAATCTTCAACTTGTCGGTTTTTCAAGCCATTCATCACTTCTGTTGTTGTATTTTAATTATTTATGTACTGTATATAATGTATACATGGTAGTGATATGTATTGTAAATTTTTACATCGCATACAGTATATGTTACTATTATCTTTATGTATTGTTGACACAGTGGAATGGGAGAATAACACTGGTAGTGTCATCCTGCCAGAATGTTGTATAACCTATACCCTAAGTAAAGAGAAACAACTCTGGAATACGTGTAATACGTATCCGGCTGGCTGGCTGGGTGGCCGGGTCTGTGGTTGGCGGTGGTGCTGATGGGTGGTGGCTGGGTGGGTGGTGGCTGGATGGCTGGTGGCTGGATGGGGGTGGCTGGATGGTGGGTGGCTGGATGGGTGGTGGATGGCTGGATGGGTGGGTGGTGGGTGGGTAGCTGATGGTGGGTGGC